CTTGTTTATATAACTTTTCATAGCTATTTTCTGGCAAATTTATGGTGGCAAAACACGCAGTCAACAAATTTCTTGTTGTTTCACCCCAACTACCGCCACTACATCTCGCTAATTCGTCCGCTCTTAATGGTATCTTTGGATATAACTACATATAGATAGAAATTTGACATATAGAGCGAAAAGAGTTATCAGATGCTTCTTTGGTGCATCACTGCGTACTTTTGCCGTTATATTTGATGCCATTAAATTTTTATGTACTTCCATCTTTTGCATTATTTCATTTAAAAATGGTACAATGCTCGTTGGTGGGGGCGCTATGAAGGCAAATCAAAGTTAATCAATCTTTCTTACGCTATGAAGACAAAAATCTCAGCTTACAAATATATGTATTTTGTGTGTGTTTTAGTTTTGCCGTTAATCTAGCTATTTCAGCTTTAAGATGAACTCTTTCTGTAATACAACATAAATTTGTACATATTGATGTTGCACAAGCACTTGTTGAATCTGAAGACAAACAATCATTGTTGAAAAGAAACCGATTTTTATCAAAGCCGTTAAAAATAAAATTTAATTAAAATCAATATGATAAGAGAGATATAGTAGTGGCGGTAGTTGGGGTGAAACAACAAGAAATTTGTTGACTGCGTGTTTTACTACCATAAATTTGCCAGAAAATAGCTATGAAAAGTTATATAAACAAAAGCCGGATGTGTTGGACGCAATGTTTGGTAATGTTCTATCGTTGTAAAAGAAAATCTTTTGATTATGTTTATATTTATGTTCTAGAATACGTTAAAGATAATCATGGCTTACCAGGTTTGGTACGTTCAACTTTTAATGCACAAATATCAACAAAATGTCGTAATATGAAACAAGGCATTAAAAGAAAACAAGAAACATTAGAAGATAAATAATCATTGTTTGTCATCTTCTTTTTTTTTCCATTTACTGTTCGTTTTTGACGGTGTTTATGTGTGTTGTACAGTAAAAGATGCTACAGATGGTCGAAACATAGAAAGTGAAACGGAGACTCTTTCTTAAATTATGTTTACGATTACAAGCTTAATTAGATGGGTTGTAATTGGAGTGCGTGCAGTTTAAGTATCTTTTGAAGCATTTTGAGCTATGCAAGTGCGTCTTAATGTTCACTTTCTGGGTTAATTTCGGATTACATAATTAGAATATACAATGCTCTAGATATTATTGTGAATGTCATGACTAAAAAGGGTGAACGTAAACGAAGACGAATTATCGAAAAAAGACGTTCAGCGATTACGTTAGTCGACTTAAAATATGCTGATGGTAAGAACCTCTCCTACCTGCCTTTTCAATCACAAATGTTATGTGTGAATGTGCCTTTTTTAGGTCATACATTAAATAATAATTTGACTGTACCTGATGTTACTGTTGTGCCCGATGATTATGACAACTTGTTTGAAGGCAAATGTTCAGGTCAAAATATTTCTGTTATTCTAGGTTTACGTACTATTTAGATGATTCAAGCGACGATGAGAAAGCTGAGGATGATGAAGCTATATCTCCATCTCAGTTAGCTGATTGGTTTGGTGAAGATATGGATGGTAATGGTAAATGTTCATGTTTGCGTGATTTTCTAAATATTTATCATTCTTTTTCTTATTTTACTTTAGAGATACCAGAAAATAAACCATCAAAGAGGGATTGGGCTTCAGTATTAATGATATTTAAAGCGCGATGTGGTGTTAATAATGCCACAATGAATTATGTTTGCAATATGCTTCGATTGAAAATATCCCCGTACTATGAAAATGTTCCCAGCAGTTGGGATGTGATCAAGTATGTGTTTTTTTTTGCCCGGTTTTCAAAGGGTTCATCTCTGTTGAAATATGCTTCGAAGTGATCAGTTGTATCCTCATGCTGGTTATACATTCCACCATGTATATATAGATGTCGAAAGATAAGTAATAAAGAAAGAAAGAGAGAAAATGTTAACAGTTGATGCATATCATACAAACAGAAGTGTCATTAATATAATCTTATACATATTACATATGTTCAGTTGTGACGTTCCAATAAATCATTATTGAGAACTCCACACAAGATCATTTTTAGCGATAAATAGACGATATTCCAATTACAAAAAAAGAAAAAATATATATTTCATTCGATTTACAAATTAACAATAAATATATATACATATTTATATAATTCTAAATTAAAACATTGCTCACTTTTTCGATTATACTAAGGGTGTTACTTGTGTGTTATGCTGTCATCAAAACACTCTATTTAACGGTTTAATTTACACTAGTCTACATATGTATACATATATACAATCCATTTTCCATGTCTCATAAATAGAACGATAATGTATTTTACATCTGTACATATAGGTTAATACAATATTATGTATAGTATATTTTAAATGGCTGGTATCAGGTGATTTTAATAGAATTCATAAGTAAGACTAATATTTTTCTAGTTATATCGTCTATATTGTGTACAAGTTATTATCATACCTTTATTTCTAACAACTAATACAAAAATAATCATATGATAGTATTTTGATAATACAAAAAGAAAAACAGGACAGAAGAAGAAATGTTACTGAAAAACTTAGAAATAATGGAAGATTATAGAAGAGATATACACTATTAAATAGAACTAAATTAATGTATTATCTTTCTAACGCTTCTTCGTCTTTTCTTTTTTCTTTAACATGAAAATAATCTCTCTCTAGAATATTAGAAATCATAAATGAATATCTCTGTTTTGCTTCAGTTCTCTTGAACATAGTCATGTAGCGAGTGTAAAAGAAAAACATGTGTGTGACTATATCACATATGTAATTTTTTATTGATCCATAATATTCTTGAATTACATTTATAGATTTATTACACACATGATGTATATAAAAGTGTACATCAAAATCTTTCTCATCAGAAGTTGAATTCCCTGGAGTTACAATATATATAAATCCGTCTTTCGCTTTATAAACAAATTATATTTGATTTGTTTTCTTATATAGCAGTATTTATTTTGCAATTGTGTATTGTTGGTATTATACATACATGTTATTCTTTGGTTATAATAACCTTCTCCTAGATAGATATATGTTTTTAATAAAAATAATAAATCTTAGATCAATGTTATGAACTATAAGGTAATCTAGAAAATATTTTCTCATAAAAGAAATGAATAAAAGATTCATTTATTTGTTTAGATTTATATTATCTAACTTATTTTAAAATTTATAATAAAAAAAAAAATAATAATTTCCTAAGAAGAATTAATATAAAAAAAACTGTTATTAATCTTCTTAAAATTCTTATGATATATTTTTACTTTTATTTTAATCATATACGTCTCGCTGTTCATCGATAATTAAAAGTTTTAATAGTTTGTTTTTTTTTTTGAATAAAAACATTTTAATCTTATTAGAAATATTTTATTCACATACAGAAACAAAAAATGTCTACTATTTGATATTGTACAAGTTTGTACTTTTGAAAGAGGTTTGGCATTTTAGTTATATATTTTCTCTTTTTCTCTTGCTCTCTCCTAAATGTATATTGTGAAAATTACGACAGATATTGATGGAAATGTAACATTTGTTCAAGAAAATGTATATAGTTCTGTTCTGTTTTCATATAAGTACATATGAAATACGATGGATTGCTAATCGACTTTGACAAGTAGTTACTCTATACACACTTCATTATATTATTGTTGTTATACTTATGTTCATATAATATACAAAAATATTTCTCTGCTCAATATCAACACAGATAGTCTCGTGTAATGATATGAAAATCAATAATCATACAATAACGTTCAAGGATCCATTCTCTCTCTCTCTCTCTACGAAGAGAGATAATTAGGACACATATTTTGTTAGATATATACATCCATTTCAATTTTTTTTGCGTAATATGCACTTTCCCTCTTCGTTTTATTTTTGATAACTGTCAACCTTGACTATTATCTCTATATTTAAAGACGTTTGAGAATAGTTCAACCAATAATATCCAAAATAAACAATAAGTTTGTTTGACAAATCTGTCAGATTGCTCATACTGTTACTATTAAAGAGAGAATTACTAAAACTGAGAGCTATTACATAATCTGTCAAAGTCAATAATAATTCGAAATAACACAGTAGCAACATCACTGACATTTTAATATGAAATGAAAGAAGCTTTCTCAATATGTGATTTAGAAATGAAAAAAAGAATTAATCTTTTCCATATTTCTATAGTTTTGGGAATAAAAATTTTGAGCTGCATTTTCTCTAAGATTCATAAAATGTGTTTTAGCAAAAAAATGGAACTTAAAGAATGGATAATTAAAGAAATAAAGCTGATCTCAGTTTGGAAATGGCATATTCTATCAATTTTGAAAAGTGATATCAGTTTGGAAAACGGTTTTTCTATTAAGAAAAAAGTGATCTCAGTTTGGAAAATGAGCTTTTAGTTCCTATTTTAATAAAATATGGATTCATAAACTGTATATAATATAAATCATATATACTAGATAGAGTGAAGTGAAGGCTTTATAGCTTGTAGGTTCCACTTTATTAAAATGGATTCCTAAACTGTATATAATATAAATTGTATATAACACATAGTCAAAAATTTATATCATCATTTTTTTTTTACTATTTTTTACAAAAAACGTTCAAATATTTTATAACCTATTTTCTTCATAAATATGATGACTCTAATGTTGAAAAACATTCATAAGCCATTTAAAATAGATGACTCAAACATCGAAAACCTATGATATCTACTTAACAAATCCAATATGTACACACTATACTCGGAGTTAATATTCAAATTTCTACCTTTCTACTAAAATATACATATAGTCCATAAGTTTGCCATATTTAAAAAAGTGATCCATCTTCAAAATGTAGTATGAATGTTGATAAGGCTATAATGTTAAAATCTACTGACCAACTGAATCCACAATTTTTGTGGTCGTCGCGAATCATAATAACAAAATACAAAAGAATCTGTTGTTCTTTACTTAGCCGTGTTGTCCTATTTAGCGTAACAATACAGTTTCACTAACGATTTTTCTAAGAAATCAATATTTACATCTTTTTAACAATAAATTCTATGACTTTATTAACAAACACATATCTATGATAAAAGAAAACTATAGGCAATCAGTTGGTACTTTCTGCATAAAAGATATATTTAACTAATATATGAGGAAAATCCACAGGGACTTATGTGTATATTTAGTGACAACAAAATGTAATTTTATTATACAACTACTTTTTCCAATTTATTATGTATTACGTGAGAATTTTCACATCATACCTTGGGAGCACATAAGTACACGACTTATTTATATTAAACTTTTAGCACCTAATTTCACGGTAATATTTGTTAAAATCAACAAAATATAAAACAAAATTAGAATATCATTTGAATAGCAATAAAAAACATATTGTCAGGAAAGATACGAGTTGATTAAAAATGTTAGTGCTATGATTTCAAGTAGGTAAAAATCACTTTTCTGTTATCTTCGGAGAAGATAAAACACTTAAGTTACAAAATAAAAGGGATTATTTTATTTCTAGTAAATTTAACACATATCTGCATAGATTTAGTTCCTTGTATGACTAGTCTAGTTCTTCTAATGAACAACATATTTCTAGTATATCCTACAGTTGTTCCTATATTGTAATTAACTAAAGGCAGATAATGATGATAAATAACTGTGTATTCTATAATCTTTGTAATAAAGCAGATGAAAAAAAAAAAACTCTATTATCCTTGGTACATATAGACTTACCACTGTTCCGTGTAAAAGAGAAAAAACGTTTTATTCTCAATAGAATTAACTAACCTTGTCATTTGAAGAAGATTTCTCGAACAAAAAAAAAAGAAGAAATCTGACTAGGAGATAAATGTTTCAATTATACAACTAGTATGTATATATAGATGTCGAAAGATAAGTAATAAAGAAAGAAAGAGAGAAAATGTTAACAGTTGATGCATATCATACAAACAGAAGTGTCATTAATATAATCTCATACACATTACATATGTTCAGTTGTGACGTTCCAATAAATCATTATTGAGAACTCCGCGCAAGATCATTTTTAGCGATAAATAGACAATATTCCAATTACAAAAAAAAAAGAAACAAAAATATATTTTATTCTATTTACACATTAACAAATAAATATAGATTTATATAATTCTAAATTAAAATTCTTGCTCACTTATATTAAAGTGTAATGATATACAATCGTTAAAGTATTACAAACGGTTGTAATCGACTAATTAGGTGCTAGAGGATATATTAGTACTGATGATCTGATAGATTACCAGTCAGCATAATCTTTCATAGTATTGATTTCTTTTTTTTTTCTGAACTGACTCAATGTCATCTATTCATTTGAGTAAAAGACTATTTTAGCCACATCTATTAGCTGAAAAAGGTGTTTCTCTCTCTACTTTCTCCTCCCTCCCCTCCCACCCCCAAAAAAAGAAACACAAGCAAACAACAAATTAATAGTAATGGTAATCTTTCATCTGTTATTATTTAATCAATGTCTCCTATTCTTCAGTTTTTCGTCATTTCGTCTAAAATCAACACTTGTGTGTTATGCTGTCATCAAAACACTCTATTTAACGGTTTAATTTACACTAGTCTACATGTGTATACATATATACAATCCATTTTCCATGTCTCATAAATAGAACGATAATGTATTTTACATCTGCACACATATATAGGTTAATAGTATAATGTATAGCATATTTTAAATGGTTGATATCAGGTGATTTTAATAGAGATTTATAAGTAAAATTGATATTTTCTATTTATATTGTCTATATCGTGAACAATTTATTATCATACCTTTATTTCTAACAACTAATATAAAAATAATCATATGATACTATTTGATAATAAAAAGAAAAGGAGAAATACTGCTAGAAAAATTAGAAATAATGGGAGATTATAGAAGAGATATATACTATTAAATCGAACTAAATTAATGTATTATCTTTCTAACACTTCTTTTTATTTATTTTTTTCTCTTCTTTTTAACATGAAAATAATCTCTCTCTCTGGAATATTAGAAATCATAAATATGAATATCTCTCTGTTTTGCTTCATTTCTCATTGAACATAGTAGTCATATAATGAGTGTAAAAGAAAAACATGTGTATGACTATATCACATATGTAATTTTTTATTGATCCATAATGTTCTTGAATTACATTTATAGATTTATTATATACATGATGTATATAAAAGTGTACATCAAGATCTCTCTCATCAGAAGTTGAATTCCCTGGAGTTACAAATATATAAATCCGTCTCTCGCTTTATAAACAAATTATATTCATATTTGTTTTCTTATATAGCAGTATTTATTTTGCAATTGTGTA